CATAAGTTTTTGTTGTCCTCTTATCTTTATACAAATACTTATGTAAACACCACTGCTTCTTCTAGTATAGCAGTTGCTATTTTCAAATAGGATTAAATTACACCTTGGCGTCCATTGTGTAATCTTGACATACAAACATGCATATTTAAGATAGATACTAAATTCCTTTTACATACTTATTTCTAGGTTTGTGCGAAAACTGATCAGAGCAAGCATGTGGTAATGATTTCGAAATGTCGAGTGTCTGTGCGTATGTGTGAGAGTGTCGAGTGATGAAACTAATTAAACGTTTTAAAAAGCATACAAAATTGTTTTATTTAATTGCTTACATATTTCGCTCACAAATTATATTATTGATTATTGTGTTGAATAACGTGTATAAATTAAGGAGCATTTACATCTATCATTCATTTAAAATCGAAACAAATATGAAAGTGTATCCAAATTGTTTGCCAACCTGTAAACAATCCTGTAAACAACTTACAAATAAAGCTAAACATATAATCTTTTCGAAAGAGAAACAAATGCCAGGTCTGTGAAATAGCATTTGGAGTACGCTGAAGAGTTGAAGATACGATAGGGGCTCGCGAATTCTCTTGTCCGGTTTCCGGGGACTTGTCTATGATTCAATTCGGTGGGCGAGCGACAAACTATACACAATGATTGTTTCAATATTCCGGTCACAATGAAGGGGAAACTCGCGATTTTACTACAACCAGCATACCATCGCATTAACGTTTTAGGTCTAAAATTACTGATTGGACCCGCCATTAAAACTAATGGTCATACTAAACTTACGTTCATTAAGGAAGGGCCGCATTCGGCGTTCGCGTTTTATTTTATTATCATTACTCTATCAAAGTAACTTAATCGCACAATTTTAATAGCATTGCGTTCCTCGTATTCATTACAGACACATTACACAATATAAACAAACATCCGACATTAAACTGTTTTAATTAAATTAAGCAACCACATTAAAATAACAAAAACTCCGTAAGCCTATTTGTCATATATTTGCGAGAAGGCAATAAATTAACAAACGAGTTATTGTAATGAGTAATTATTCAGTAAACATTACCCATAACGAAACGAATGAATAAAGAAATGTTTCGATTTTTAACCAATTACTATATGGCGTTAAGGACTGATATTTATTTTTTTTATGTGAGAAGGTGACAAGCAAGCGGTTCATCTGATGATAAATGATAACCGCTGCCCATTGACATTTGAAAAAATGAACATAGTGTCTGGTGGGTGTTTAAATATCCTTACTAATATTATAAAGGCGAAAGTTTGTATGTATGGATGGATGTTTGTTACTCTTTCATGCAAATACTACTGAATCGATTTTAATAAAACTTGACAATAATATAGCTTATACATCAGAATAAGACATAGGCTATAATTTATATACGTATTTATTTATTTATTTATGTATTTATTGTACACAAAACACAGGATACAAAAAAAAATGTTTAAAAAAAAGTAATGTACAAAAGGTAAGCTTAACTCAATGCATGAGTTCATACTTTGTGGATAAATAAAACTCCTTTGCTCTTTTCTTGAAAACGTTCGATGATGGACTGGCACGGACATTATGAGGTAAAGAGTTCCAGAGGCGCACCGCGTGTACTGTAAAAGAGCTGCCATAACAGGAAGAAGAGTGCGAGGGTAATTTTAGAAGAAGGGATTTGATCTCACGACAGGGTTGACCACGCGGTACCATGTACTCAAAACGCTCACGGAGATACAGAGGAGCCGCAGGATTTTTGAGAATTGAGTAGTGTGTATACTACATGCAAATCTTGACGGCGACGTATGGGTAACCATTTCAACTGGGATCGGAAGCTAGAAATATGATCGTATTTACGCAGCCCAAAAATGAAGCGTATACACAAATTTTGTAAGCGTTCCAATTTATTCAGCAGTTCTTCCGCAGCATCCAAGTAGCATACGTCCGCATAGTCAAGAAGAGGTAGAAGAAGGGACTGGGCGAGTGTAATTTTTGTTTCAAAGAGCAAAAACCTTTGGAGACGCCTGAGAGAATGAAGCGAGTAATGTATCTTCCTGCTCACTTCATTAATGTGATTGGTCCAGGATAACTTGCTGTCAAACAAAATGCCAAGGTTCTTAGCACACGAAGAGTATTGTATAGTAATATCATCGTAGCATACCGGTGGCAAGTTATTACCGTTGATGAAATTGAGCATATACGTGCTGCCAAAAATAACCGCTTGGGACTTTGCTGGATTAACTAGAAGTCCAAAAAATTTTGCCCAATTACAAATTTTTGAGAGATCATCGTTTACTCCAGATATAGCATCATGCATCTCGTATACCTTAAAGTGGCGGTAAAGCTGCAAGTCGTCTGCATAGAGATGAAACTGAGAAGAGATTACATGAGTGACAGCATTAATAAATATTGAAAATAAGAGAGGAGATAAGACGCTACCTTGTGGAACTCCCGCAGCAAGATCACACCAGCCTGATGAAGCATCACCGTAGCGAATACACTGCGGGCGACCCCGCAGGTAAGAATCAAACCAAGTAAGTGCAGGTGGAGATAAGTTAAGAGATTTAAGAATACCTAAGAGAACATCAAAGTCAACGGAGTTAAAAGCGCTACTGAAGTCGAGTAGGATCAAAACTGTCAACTGCTTGCGGTCTATAGCTTGGCGAATGTCATCAGACACCTTACTGAGAGCTGTAACCGTACTGTGGCCAGGACGGAAACCAGACTGAAATTGACTTAGCAGACCATTGAGGTTTAAAAAGGAGGATAGCTGTCGCTGTACAATGCTCTCCAGGACCTTCGACAAGATGGGTAAAATAGAGATGGGGCGATATTGTGAAAAAGATGATGGATTGGAAGTTTTAGGCAGGGGGATGACTTGTGCTTTTTTCCATACCGAAGGGAAAGAGCCTGTTGTCAGTGAGAAATTGAGAATATGGGTGAGAACTGGGACAAGCTCATCCAAGATTAGAAGGATCATCTGATGATGAATTCCATCAACGCCCACTGCCTTAGTAGAAATAGAGCGAAAGGATCTCTTAACGTCACACTCTGAAACTGGTGCAAAAGAGAAAGGTGTACACTTGGGTAGAGACTGTAGAAGAAGACGATTAAGGGTGATAGACTTAATGGTGTCATCCAATATGACAGGAGAGCGAGAAAAGTGTGTATTTAGTGCATCAAGATCAATTATCATGGGTTCATAATGAGAGGATTTTCCCACACCAAGTGACTTTAAAAATTTCCTACACAAACGATTGCAGCGATTTCGTAGATGTTTGTATGCTGTTAAATTATTTTCAGAGGGTTGCTTCCTTAGGCGTCGCTTGGCTTTGTCTCTTTTGGACATAACTTTTTTTTTATTTCAGCCGTCAACCAAGGAGCCGGCAACCTCTTAGCACTAACACATTTTACTGGAGCATGTTGATCATAAAGGGCTCGTGAGTGTTTTATTGAAAAATAATCAATCTTTTCGTCAATTGAGTTGGAAAGATAAGCGCCCGACCAATCAGCACGAGTCGCATCATCACGCAAGCGCTCCACGTCAATGCCCTTGAAGTTGCGAAGATAAAGTAATTTTGTTTTGGGTTTAGGAGGACGTATGTTATAGGAGAGATATATAAGGTCATGATAGGAAAAAGAAGCGGAGAGTTGTCCATGAGTGACGACCATATTAGGATTAGAGACTAGGATCAGATCCAGTAAAGAGGGGTTAGTGTATTGGGGGGCGTGATGCGTGGCAGATAAGGGAAGAATATGCATATTGAGCGAAGCAACTAGGGAACGGAGCCGTTGAGCACGGAAATCAGATTTTAAAAGGCAAGTATTGAAATCACCAAGGAAAATAATGGAATATTCGTACAGAGGAGAAAGTAATTCCATCTTGGATTCGAAAGGAGAAAAGTAGTCGATGTGAGAATTAGGGCTATAGAATACTCCTAAAAGTAGCTTGATGTGCTGTAAGGTAACTTCGACAAACAAGTGCTCAGCAGAGTGTGAGTAACAACTAGGCGAAGTGTCCAGTATTTTACAAGGGATGTCAGCTCTTAGATACATGGCAACACCACCGCCGCCCTTCTCCGTTCTATCATTGCGAATTAAGCGGTATCCAGGTATAGGGTACTGAGTAGATGCAAGAAAGGGCTTGAGGAAAGTTTCGGAAATGAGTATCGCATCGACCACAGAAGAGTCAAAGGAGGACTGAAGATCAGAATAGTGTGCCGGGACACTCTGGGCATTAATATGTACTATATTGAGATAATTTCTGTTCACGCTAAGCCGCAATTTTAAGAGATCACAAAGCTGAACAGAAGAATCAGAAAAGGCGCTGGCAAATTCCTCATCCGATGCGCAAGACGATGAACAGGAGAAAAAAAGAGTCATTGAAGTCGTGCATTATATTTATAAAATGTTATGTTATAAATAAATGAATATATATATATATATATAAATATCTATATGTGATAAAAAAAATATATAATTATAAAAGAAATACCTAAAAAATTTATAGATAACTCAAAATCAATAAATCAAAACTGTATAAAATAATGAGTTCCAATCGGACCCTAATTGCACCTCACCATTAAAATAACATTCAGTCACACAAACTCAGCAAACAGATATATACATTAAAAACAACATGGTAAAATAATTCTGGCCATTGGACACAGATGAGAAGCAGAGAAAAAAAAAAAGAAAAAATAAATAAATAAAAAAGGAATACACAAGACGTAAAATTCAGGTAAAATTTGGCAAAACTAGAATGACATGGATGACAGATGACAACAATACAATGTCAGATACCTGATAACAACTTGGTCGTGGAAAAACGTCAAAACAAAAACAAAAAGTGTAATTTTGTAAGGTGATTCTAGATATTTTAACAAAAAAAAATCAGATTGTTATTTATTTGAAATGACATCAAGATAATTTTATTAAAAGTGCTAAACCAACCAAGTTCGTGAGCCAGGCACAACATTGTTTACTTTGAAACTGTTTTCGGTTTTGTGCATTTTCGGACCGGTCGAGGTTGGTCTTGAGTTGTCGGCTCTTTAGAAGGAGTACGTACAGGCTCGGACTGCGTTGATGTACCAGCACGGGTAGTTGACGCCACATTATGTGGCGTTGGGTAGCGGTGGATCAGCTCCTCAAGCTCGGACATGCGCTCGATCCTACGACGAGATTTGGGTAAAATTTCAGCAGCCCACTACTTTTATATAGCAAAGAAAAATAAAAATTTAATGATAGAGAAATATAGATAATAATACCTAAAAAATAAATCAATAAGCAGAATTGGCTAATCAATTATAGTTTTCGAGAAAAAACATAATTAAAATTTGCTATTTTCACTAAAGAAAACCGCCATTAACACGCTAATAACATTAATTTTATACAAGTGGTAACTCACGTTTTCACTTTATTGGATAATACAGAGATACAGTATACTTAAAATCAAATCACAAACACATATTTTTTACTTGGCGAGCGGGCATTATCAACAATTTTTAATATTTAAGGTTTAACTTTCAAAATTAAAATCATAACAAAAACAATTCAATAATAACAATAATACTACTGAATACAGATTCACATACATACTACATACCACAGATAATCAATTAATTTAAGTATCCATTAATTATTATGATTTTATATCGATTATTAAATAAATTACAAAATTTTAGTTGTTTAATTAAAATTTTAAAATAAATAAATAATTTATCTCTGTTTATGGCAGCTTGGAGATGTCATCAGGACTTGTTATTAATTAAGATAAATTGAGTTCTGCATTTATTTATCATAAAATTAGGTAAGGTTCAAAATGAGTCACAGATCCGACACAGTGCACCCCGACTCCATGTGGTCTTGTGGTCCCTACCCCTAGAGTGAACATAAAGAGGCGGAGCCAGAACCTCGCGTCGGAGGTCGAGCGAGCGAGCCGGCGAGCCGGCGAGATCCGTAGCGGAGCGCAGGCCGAGTGGGTGAAGCGACACTCAGGGGCGACATAGCGAGTGTTCTGGCGAAGCACGTGGGAGAGTCAAACTTTACAATGAAGTAATAAATTTTGAATATTTCTTACATTTTTTTACATAAAACAACAAAAAAAAATTAAAGATGTAGATTTTAAAAGCTTTGTAATTTTAATAAATGAAAATCAAAAATATAAGAAATAGAAAAAAATATGACATTATTAAGTTTGACTCTCCCACGTGCTTCGCCAGAACACTCGCTATGTCGCCCCTGAGTGTCGCTTCACCCACTCAGGACCTCCGACGCGAGGTTCTGGCTCCGCCTTTTTATGTTCACTCTAGGGGTAGGGACCACAAGACCACATGGAGTCGGGGTGCTCTGTGTCGGATCTGTGACTCATTTTGATTTATAAAAATCACATATAAAACCATCAGCTTGAGTTACGTAAAGACGAATTTAATTTAAATCACTTTATAATACACCATGGTAACATTAAGGGCGTTTAACAAAAACATTTTATAAAATTTGTAATCGAGTTTTGAAATCGATATTAGCATATTGGCTGTATCATTATTTTGATGCCTAATCGTATGTCAAATTTAAAACCAAAAGTATTTCCCGCTCATTTTATATTAATCAAATATGTTTATACCTACATTATCGTATTAGTCTTATTTTTTTTAATAAAAATTTATTCCAATCAGAATCAAATCGTTCAGTGCTTTTTAATTTTTTGTGTTATCATGAATTCTTGTAAAGAAATTTGAATGTTTTAAGTGTGGACAAGACAGTGTTTTACGGAAGGTTTTTAAATGTGAAAATGTTGACAATAGTAAAATGGCGGATTTTCTTAGTGAAAATAACAAGATTTAATTACGTTTTTTTCTCTTAAAATATAGGTGACTATCAATTTTTTTTTATTGATTACTTAGTGATATGTCTCTATACTTATCTGTCGTTTAAATTTTTCTTTTGTTTGCTATATAAAAGTAGTGGGCTGCTGAAATTTTACCGAGATTTGTTTGGCAGGAGGACAATGCGGCCCTCTGAAGTCCAGCAATCCTTCACGCCAAAGTGTATGCGAGCACGCTTGAAGACTTCGTGGCGCGACTTAGTCAAGAATTCGGATAAAGTAACACCGGATCCCTTGAGACAAGTCTTATTCTCCCACACCTCACTACGCTTCTTATAGGCTTGGAAGCGAACCAAGATAGGTCGTGGTCTACTGGAGTCCTTCCCCATTCGATGACAAGAGGATATGTCTGCTTTAGAAAATTCAGGCAACTTCATTTGGTTTGTTAATGCTTCAATAACAGAAGCTGCAGGAGACCCTTTTTCCTTTTCTGGGATACCGTGAATTAGTAGTATTTTTCTACGTGACGCAGTCTCATGTCTATCAAGCCCCAAAAGAAATAAATCTACTTGCTGTTTCAGCATATTAAGATTGCTCCAGACTTGTTGCCTGAAATCTGAGAACTCACGTGCAAGGATCTGGAGGTCACTTTGGGACAGGCTGGCGTCAATTTTCTTTTGGAAGCGTTCCATGTCACTATTAAAGAGAGCACTTAGCTTGGAGAGCTCCCCGTAAAGTTCCATCTTGCTATTGTTATTAGTAGTGACTGAGGAGATAGTGAAGAGGAAAGATATTTCTGAGGTGTAACCAAGGTCAGCAATAAACTATTTACACATTAATTAGTTAACCAATACAATGATTTTTAATTGTTTAGATTAAATCTTTGAAGAGCAGTTATAATGCACCTTGACACTTTGACTACCCACAAAAAAAAAAAAAAGAAAGATTTCGTATTTAGAGTAAGAAAGATTTCGGATTCGTATTTTATGTTTACCTGTCTTTCTGCTTAATCTTGTATCTTGTATTAACTGATGTATTTGCTTTCAGTCCCGAGACTATTAAAGCTTCATCTGACGCAGAACCGGTGGGCTAGCCAGAACCCACGGGTTTGGTCTGCTTAATGTTACACCTTCAGCCTATTCTACGCAGACGTAGTCGTGGGCAGCAGCTAGTGTATAATAGGAATGTATTTCTTTACAAAAGAAAAGTATTTTTAACAGCAAAGATAACTGTAGTACAAATTTTGCTTAATTTGGGACTAGAGAACGTAAAAATGTGTCCTGAAATATTTATTATTTAAACTTACATTTAAAGTTAGTTACCCGAGCGCAGGGGTCACAAAGAAGTTTCAATTTAAGTGTAAAGATTTGCGCTAAAAATTAAATCAATCATAAGAGTCACTTTAATTATATTAAGAATTATTATAGCAGAACCTAAATCGATTGAGTGTGAACCAGATTCCCAGAAATGGATATTTTATGGATGTGTAGTTTACTTTATATCCGAGGAGATTCAAGTTTTCCCCTACACACATGCTCGCTTTCCGCCGGCGCCGCCGAGGCACAATAGAAGAGCCTCAGTGATTTAGTTTTATTAACATGCACCCTCCGTGTGTTCCAGATTATTCAAAGAGAAGTATGTAAATACGCTTCGGTATCAAACTATTTGCATGTTTACGTGGGTTCTTACACAAGTGCAACTAGGCTTAAAGGTTTTTTTCTCTCAATTTATTACCAACTGAACGTAATAATTCAGTAATAAAGGCAAAGGACAATTTACTTATATGGTTTATGTATTGGATACATTTGTTTAATCCTTAAATTATCCGTTGTACTGAGATACCAAAATATTTATAAAATTATACACGGACCCACGGGTCCCACTGGAAAACACAAACGACATATAGAGTAATATATAATTAACAGTATATTTTTTTTTATATAATAAAAACAACTATATAATTAGTTCATCCTCCCCTACGAGCATGGTGAAATTAACACCATTGTACGTAAGATACATTCCATGGTGGTTCCCACTGACCCCAGTCAACGTCATTTAGTGCCAGCATATAGTCAGTGCCCAGTATGTGACACATCGCGTTTAGTAAATTCCAGTTAAATAAGCTTTATAAATATGAGAAAAGACAGTAGACAGTATCATGTAAGGTTTAACTTATATTTTAGTACAATATTTGCTACTGTACTAATTAAGAAATCTTCTGGGTGTACCAAATGCTATAATTTGGTGGATAATTTCTATTAATATTGGGGAAAATTTTTTTAATCCTGCAATGGCAACTAGTCCCATTCTCTCGCAAATGCCTGCAATAAGGTATGTTTATTCAAGATTTCTCATATATGGATATATTCAAGACAAAAGAAAGGTGGACTCGTGGCAATTGGAGACTCAGCACCGCTCGGCCGTGACAAGGGATGATAAAACGATCATAGGTTAACCTTCACGCGAGTATGAATTACACCGCATTGTAATGCGCCCGACGTTTACTCCTTTGAATAGCAATTTCGTGAGGCAGCCCTATTATTAAGGGTAGTATAATACCGACAGGCAGTCGCCGACAGCGGGTTAAACAGACGCTAAGAGCAGCTGAAATTAGATGCTTTGAGCTTCACCGTTGTTTCGCGTCGGACTCCTTTAATGCCGTAAGTGTATTCCCCGCAATTTCAAGAGCCCATTTGTGCTTTATAGCTCTTTATTATCTATTTATCGCCCCCACAACCCCATTATCCCCACATCATAATTTGATACATGCTTAGTGCTATATCATCTTCGATATAACATAAGAATGTTTTGAAGATATGAATTTGAATTTGTAAATCCGTACTGGGTTCTTGTGGAGAATTATGTTGAACTCTCCGAATAAGGAACCCTTTTCTCAGCACTGGGAAATATGGATACAGTTCTATTTAATTTAGTACTATATTATTCTTGACAAAAACAATAAAAGTTATTCAGTAAAGCAGTTTAATGGCAAAGGAGGTACTAGTATTTAATACAAATAATATACAAATTTTCAGTTTGGACATTCTGTGCAGGTTCATGTAATGACAACCCCGTGGAAAGGCAAGATTTTATAATTGGATTTTAGGATGGATGTCACATGTGTTGTGGACATACATGCATTGGCTTTGTCAGGTAAGGAAGGTATAGGAGAGGTTCGGTATGTTAACCATGACCTCGGTGACTATATACTGTATCTTTGATCGTTGTCTGAGAGGAGTAAGAATAGCGTTCATGGACGTTAAAAATTTTAGAATAATTTAAAAATGAAATTTAAAATCGTATTGAAAAATAATAAATTACAATGCTCATTGGCGCAATTGTTAAGCAATTGGCTTCGTCGCCGGGGGTTGTGGGTTCGATTTCCACACAGGCCAAGTATTTGTGTGACCCGCAGATAAGTGTTCCAGATTTGGGAGATTGTTTCCAAGCAGGGTTGACGTGAGACAAGCGGCTGGTCTTAAAGAACCTAGACAAATCCACTAAAAATTGGGATCACATGTTTTTCCCACCCCTTGGTGGGATAAGGGCAGGAGGATAATTTATCTCGTACCCTATGGTCAAGAATACATTTCCATGAAACCTAGTGATGGTGATTATCGAAATAAGTTAAAGATTTTTACAAAGACTTGAAGAGTATTTTGCTTCACGGTATAAATCTTAGTAAGGGGTGGTAATCAAAAGATCGTAATGAATTATCAATTAATCACTTGACACTTCACTTTATTAAAACCTTAAATTATTCTACGCCGTAAGTTTGTGTAGTGAATCATCATCTAACGCTACACCCCAATCATTATAAATAATTAATTCAATTATGATATGTATTCTGTACTGAAAAGTTAAAAAATAATAATAGCAAATAAAAACCGCATTTCATTCGGTAAGGTGACGTTTAAACAAACGCGTTCGATGAGATTTTTGTGAAAAATTTCCCGTTGAAATCTTAAAACGACGTGTGCTGTGGATGAATCGATGTCGTTAGCCCAAATAGCGCAAAACTGCCCCCACTTAGTCCGGAGAGGCGATCTTCCGGCGAAACGTGAACGAAGGCGATCGTTACACCATTCATAGCGTTGACTTGCTCTTTGTCAATCGTATGTTTCACACTCTGTACTGGTGGTTACATTTATATATATACAGGGTGTCGTTACCATCGCGACAATAAATGAACACACATATAGGCGATAACTTTTTAAAGTTGTATTAAACATTTAAATTCTTTAAACATCAATATTTACAGAGTTATTAAATTTTCCAAAACAAAGAATTTTAGAACACCCTTACCTATAAAAGCGTAACGTAAAGTTCATTTGTAAAGGTCACAAAGCATATGAATGGGTTGAATGAATTTAAAAGAGACAAAACATACAGTTAGAAGGAGAGGCTTGTAATGCGACGCTGTGGCGCGAGTTGTATAGGATTTTACAAATTTTGTTTCTTTTTTACTTAATTAGTTTGTTTGAAAAATATTTTTTTTAATCATGGATTTTGTTTAACGTTAATATTTTTTTATGATTATTGGCAAGTAGCGTTAGACGTGTGTTCATTTATTGTCGCGATGGTAATGACACGCTGTATATAGTTATATAGTTACATACGGCGAGCAATAAGCATTGATGATCAAAAATTTACTCAAACAAGTAATATTTTAAAACTTCTACCAATATTCTGAGTGCGAGGGCCATTGATCGGCGAACTTATTAAATTAATAAAATACTTATTTCACTATTGTTGTATTTTCAACATCTATGCATATATATATATACATCGAGATATACTCATTAAAATATTCTACACGAATTGTAGAATTTTGAAGAAAAAGGAATGATTGCCCTTATCGCACCTAGGTGGGGTCGGCACAATATGTGAATTATTTTGTAAGTGCTTTTTGGCCAAGTTTTTTACGACCGGCCGCCTGCTTGACGTCAACCTTCCTTGCGAACAAACATATCCGGAACAATTATCTGTGGGCCACACGAATAATTGTCCCGTGTGGGAATCGAACCCACCGAGTCTGCGCCACCGAGTCAATAGTCAATCAAACGTTAAATAATTATTTCATTATATCAGTTAGAAACTTATAACTTACAAGAATACAAGAACACGAATACATAACATTATTTATTTATTGCGCAGAGATCTATTTAAAATTTATGTAAATAAAATGATAGTCTGTCGTTGTGCGCGCTTCATGGATTCCTAAACTACTGGATAGATAACCTCAAAAAATATTAAAATATTCCTTTTACGTTGTTAATAAAGTTTTAATACACAAAGATTTTTATTGTTTTCAATGATTTGTATTTTCTTCCCGAGAAGGAGAATCTCTCAATGTATGAACTTACAAGACCCTTACCCAACAATGGGACACTTGTTTAGGCTGTTACTTTACCAACCATATATTATACTAGCAATATTTGCTATAACAATCTTTGATATTGCATTCGATTCCCACAGCGGCGACAATCTTTTCGCACTTTTTCTACATATTTTAATGTTCAATCTTAAGTGCAAAGATTAGCACTATAAACAATTTAAATTTCTAAAAAAGCAATGGCGACATCTCTCGTTCGAATTATCGTTGTAAAACGATATTCGAAGTTGTTTGTATGCTGGAAAGGATATAACAATAGATGGCGCCAAGCATTGCTTCAAATGCTAAGAAAACAATGTAGAAGAATGCGTTAAGATTTTCGTCGGTGTGGTAATCAGCCGTTTAGCT